TTTTTTACACAGAGGAAGTAGAAAAAATGGTTTTTTTTCCTGATTTAAACTTCCCTGCAGAATATCAACAGGAAATTGGTGGAGAATATTAACTGTTTTTATTTGTTTTTCTGCTAACTTTGTCCTCTGCTGACAGCAGAAGAGTTCTTGCAGACTGTTGTCACTTTTTTCAAATCTAAATTTCAATGGTTTTCTAAGTTAGTAACAGTGGTAGCAAACGGGAGTGAAATCCTGTAAACGTTTTTTATTTTCTTTATTTTTTTTTTGTCACTCAATAGAATTTGGTGTTTTTTCAAAAGGGAAAGAAGTGCCAATTTTCTTGTTTTTAGATTTGCCTTCTTTTGTATGTACCTGTTTGTGATGACGTTCTGTTTTGCTTATTCATTATGTAAGTTTCCTCTTTTTTTTCCATGTCGCAGACAGTGAAGAGAGAAGATTTGCAGTGTTGAGAAGATCCAACTAAATGGGTGAATAGTAGAATCTTAGAAAAAACTATTTTTTTTGTCAAAGAAAAAAAAAAGGGAAAAAAGAGATTCCAAATGTATTTTGTTAATAACTACTGTTTTTTTATGGGCTGTGCAAATTTGCACGATTTGCACGATTTTCTTGATACACTCTAAATTTTCTAAGATAGTCTATGACACGTTGTGAAGTTGTAAGAGAGTTTTAAAGAAATTGGAAAAAAAACTTTGTTTTGCTAAATAATTTTTTGGGAATACAGGATAATAGGAAAGACAGGACAAAGAAAGAATGGGAAAAATTTTTTTCTTGAAAATAATAATGGAAAAATTTATTGAAAGTCAAAGAACAGGGAAAACTAAACACCTGTTTTAGTTGCTTATCACCTTTGCATTTTAGCAAATAATTTTTATCTAGATGCAGTCCTGAGTTTAAAAATATTTCCCATCAGTAATTGCTGTCTTGTTGCAATCTATGTTCGTTGTGTAGAACTTTTTTTTCTTCAACCTTATGACTATTCAGCCTATTCAACTTTCACAATTTGAATACATAATGATGACTAAGAGTAATGATACTACGCATACATTATTATTTCGATGTATGCAGTGTACGTCACCGTACCTTCAGCTTTAAAATGATTAATACTTTCCGGTTTTTGTTTATTGTTTTTTGGTTAGAGCTGATTATCAGAGGGAAACACGTAAAAAATGACGAGCTCAATTGGGGGAGGAGAAAATCAAAGCAAGCGGGTAACGATAAAGAAGATTAGAACTGAAATAGCAATGCACATGCATTAGTGTTAGGGCAGTTCACTGAAGAGACTATCTAAAGAACAGGCAGGTGGCTTGAAACCAGATACAGATAGTCGGAAAATGTACGTGTGCAGGTTGATTCTTTCTGACTTTTTCTACTTGTTGCTGCTGCTTGTAAAGGCATTTACCTACACCAGTTCTGTGGTTAGGGTGACTAAATGCAGAGTTTTAACGGAGTGATCAGTTAATTTGCCAATACCTGTACTTTGCGGTGTCGCTGTAGATGGGTTATTTAGTTTAATAGGCAGTCTAAAGCTACAGTTTGTTGTATATTAGTTGCATTTTTCTTTCTCATTTGTAGTCGCATCACTAAGCTATTGTTATACGGGACCGCAGATTAATTAGGTTTATTTTCTCGATTAGTAAAATTCAACTTGTAAACTTATCACTCAGTCGTTGCAACTTTTTCGTCACGCTTTTTTACGGCTAGCTGACTTTTTTTTTCTAAATTACAAAATCTGCTCTTTTGATTTATTTTTTATCAATTCAATTAAAGAAAAGCACAATTTATAATAAAATCTGTCATTTAAATTAACGTCAGCACTTTTTCTTTCTTTTTTTTTTTCAAAGAATTTTTACTGTTTTGACAGCTTTTTTCTGATTAGCCTTTGTCGTTGAGTACAACGTCAGTTTAAGCTATAGGTAATAGTTAGCTCAATGCTGTTGTAAAAAGCAACCAAGCAACTGAAAAAATTGCACAGTTAATAAATGGAGAAGGAAGAGAATAGAAGTGATCTGTTTTTTTAAAAAAATTATTTTTTCCTATTTTGGTTTCACATTTTTTGGCTGTTTTTTTTGTAGAAAAAATTCTTTTTTTGGCTGCATTTGGGAGTTATTGGGCACAGTTTCTTGACCTGTTTAAAAGTTTTGTCTGTTTTCTTGAAAACCACAGAAGCTTTGAAACTGTGATGACTAAGCGAAAATTTGCATATAAGATAATGAGTACTTTATGTTACTTTCAGTTGTTAAGTCTCATTGTGGATGAATACGTTATCCCTTCTGATCCTTACTGCTTTCGACTGCGTCGACTGTGTCTTCAGCTTTTGTCTTTCCTGTAGCATGTGCTGTTTCCACTGTATGTTATTGCTCCTTTAATGTGTTTTAATGCTGCAGTCACTGCAAATGTCATCTTTAAATGATAAGTTCATTTCTAGTCATTTTTTTTACATTTGAGGAACGAGAAAGGGCGGTGGAAACAAAAACGGGAGAAGAACTGATGGAAAGATTAATTTTTTTTATTCCACTTAATAAATGAATCTTGAAAATCTGAATCTTGTCGTCACTACAAGTTTTTTATGTCTTTATCAATGTGCAGCATTCATCATTTGATAATTTTGAAACCAAAATAAAATGCAATTTTTTAATGTGTTGGTTCGTTTTTACTTTTAGTTTCATTTTTGCTTTCAAATCTGCTAATGTCATAGTTGTTTTTTCTTGTTAACATTGTTGCTTTTAATTATTTTATTCTTTGTCTCTATTTAATTTATTTTTTTATCCTGACTGTTTAGCAATTATTTTTCTCCACTTTAAGAACAGCAATGAAAACTGTGCTTTTTTTTTTTATTTTGCATAACTCTTGATCAAGTTGAGTGAAAGAGAAGCAGGAATGCTTTTATTTTTAGTTGTCGCTTTAAAATCTGATTTTGGGATTTATTTACTATTTAGAAACACAATAAGGTAAATAAACGACGGTTCAAGAAGAAATTTGTTGACTTTTATTGGTCATTTCTGATGATATCGTTACCCTTTCTTTACGCCCGTTAGTCTCAGATGAGTCAGCATTACATAGTCTGTAAATGACAGTTGACAGCTGTTATTATTTTTTTTTCTTTTGAAGAACTTGTAAAACAAAAACAAATGAGAGAGTTTTTTTGACTTAATGGTCGGATACTTTTGCGTGCACTGTTCCTGCTGTTACTGTTGGTGTTGCTATTCTTTGTTGATGGGAGTAGTTTTGAAGAACGGAAAAAAAAAGGAAGAAAAAATGAGGGTTCAGTGGTAGCGCTGTCTACTGACTAGCGGCTTGATGGTTCACTAAAATTCTATCTTCTGTCGGTGCGTTTGGTTTTTCTTTTTTGACTATAATTTTAGAACTTCTAGATTGTTTACTTTCTTTGCCAGACGGAAAAAGGTGAACATTGCTCTGCTTCCTTCAATTTATCAATTTTACGACAGTAATTTTGATGGGAACTAAAGTGATCAAAATCAAAAATGGAATAGGAAAAGTGACTCATTCTTAGACTTGTTGTTTCTTTTTTTTCGCAACTTTATTTACTAATTTCTAAGTTTTAATATCAGCGTTTTTTTTGCTTCTATCGAATTTTGAACAAAAAGCTTCAATTTTTGGTTTTCAAGGAAGCTGGGTAACTTTTTTTTTAATTTATGAGTTTAGAACAATTTTTGAAACGCAGCAAATTGTAATTTCTTCATTTTTTTTTCTTTTTTTTTTTATTTGAGATTGACAGAAGTAGATTTTTATAGGTCTCGATAAGCAGAAAATTTTTGCATTTTGATGTAACAGTCAAAGGAAGTGAAAAGCAGAACACGAAAAAAAAATGACAGAGGAGAAAAACTTTTGTGTATTTTTTTAAAATTCTCTTATTTATTTGCTTATTATCTATAGTATTTTTAAATCTATGCTAACAAACGATTATCGGTATTTTACAGGGTGGCTAATATTAATTGATAACTGGTCAACGCTAATTGTCTTTTCATGGTATCTAAATTGGTCCAATTTTTTCATCTTTTTGCAGCTCATTTGTCGCCTAACAGTTCTCATAAATGCTTTGAAAGAGAATCAGATTAGTGTTTTCCCAATGTGTATGAGAGAAACAATTTGAAAGTAAAACTGTTGTCAGGTATTGAAAAAAAAATGAAATGCACTTTTTAAAGTAAACTTTGGAATATTTGCAGTTAAATTTATCACAATCTGAAACACGATTAAATAATAATTAGCATAGTTAAAATTACTTTATTGCTTAATCTTATGTATTTGACTGTCTAAAAATAACCCAACTTAGTAGCAGTAGAGAGAGACTTTTTTTTTAGCAGGGTCTGTCACGGGAATTTTTGTTTTTGTTCACTTTTTACTTTGGTTAAGGTAAGTGCAAGGAAAAAGTTTTTCTTTTTTCTTGACTATTTTTTTTGGTGTTGTTTTTATGTCATTAGTTGGTAGCATGCTTATCCTTGTTGTTTTGATAAGAATAGCGTTATATTTACCTTGAAGACCAAAAAAAGGGGTGACAAAAACTGAGGGGTAAATGCATTTTTCTTCTATTCAGCTTTCACCGACCTTCAAATATTTATCTTATGTCTACTTTTCGTCTCTGTTCTTGTTTATTGTTTTTAATTTTTTTTTTTACTACTTCGTTTATTAGTTTT